AGATTTAGGGTCCTTTTGGGGCAGCTTGTGCGTTTCAGGATAAGCTGCTTATCCTGAAACGCGGCCCACAGGCCGACTGCAGGGGTCGACCCGCAACCTGCTTTTAGTGAAAAAACTCAAACGCAGTTTTGGATTAGCTGGTGGAACGCGAGAACCAAACAGTACGGCGGCGTTTTGAAAACACTGACCGCACTTATAAGCTGCCCGAAACGTACTCTTAGAGTGTGTTTGGGGCAGCTTGTGCTTATGCAAATAAGCAGCTTACTGAAAAGCGATCGATGGGTAGCCTGCGATGTTCGACCTTGCGGCTTGCATTTAATGTCAAAACCCAACCGCGTTTTCGGATAAGTTGTCGAAACATGTTTTCCAAACTGTGAGGCAGAGTTTTGAAAACGCCGCTCGCACTTATAAGTTGTCTCAAACGGGCCCTTAGAGTAGGATTTAACCTGCATTTTACCCAAATCATGACAGACAATCAGTTTGGACAAAACCGTGGATTTTAGAAATCAGGATTTCACAAATTTCAGCTGTAAATCTCAAATTTACTAAGGGTCTGTTTAGGGCAGCTGCAGTTTATCCAGCTTTTGCTGATAAACATTCGATCCTGATAATCTACTGATGAGCAATTGATCTGAATAAGCTGGCTGGCTGTTTGGTTTGCGCGTTAGGAGAACAACTGATTTGCTGTTTCTGGATAAATGATCATTTTGCCCATGAATTGAATAAAGTGTTACGTTGTTTGGTTTCTGCAGTTTCAGAACAACTGATTTGCAGCTGTTTGTGAAAACATGATCATTTTGGCCACGTACAGTGGAACTGTTCACAACAGTAATACAATGAAACACATTCAATATACTAAAATCCAAAAAAAAATTCATTTTTTACATATATAGCACTCAATTCTTATGGATTTAGATATCGCACATCGAAACTTTCATTTTTACACTCATACCACAAAATTCCAATGTATTTACATATCTAACACTTAAATTTTACTTTCAGCTGTCTCACAAAAGAAATTTGTAAATGAAGCATGAACTAAAAAAAATTAGAGGTAAATCGCTCAACCAAAAAAAATCAGAGCTTCCTTCGAAAGTAGTGAGCAACGGAGAGGTAGGAGCATTGCTTGCAGCTTCTTTTGGCAGGGATGAGCTTCCTTCGACAGGGATGAGTAGCGGTGAGCTTCCTTCGGCAAGGATGAGCGGAGTGGTAGGAGCATTGCTTGCGGCTTCCTTCGGCAGGGATGAGCAGTGCAAATGAGCGGAGTGGTAGGAGCATTGTTTGCGGCTTCCTTCGGCAGGGATGAGCAGTGGAGAGGTAGGAGTGTTTCGTTTGACAGTGGCTTCCTTCGGCGGGGATTAGCTTCGACAGAGAGCTAGGCGGATTGGGTTTGAGGGCAGGGGCGTAAATGCTTCGCTCGAACGCTGGATCGCGGGGTTATACCCAAGATCCGCGTCTAATAGAAATAGTAGAACACTGTAAATTGGTGCTTTGGCAAACACAAATAAAACGTGCGAACCAAACATAAAGGCGGCGTTTTCAAAAATGCCGTCCCAGTTTTAAGCTAGGCCCTAAATCTTAGGGACTCCGTGGATTTAACTTCGCTGACTTGGATATAAGTTTTTTAGAATTTAGTAAATTCATTGCCAAACATTTTTTTTGAATTTAATAAATCCAGATTTAAGAAAATAAATTCTCAAAAGTTCAGCGCTTCTTCTCGCTTCAGTGTTTCAATATTCTCAGTACCACTCCGTCAACCAAGTAGACGAAAATGGCTACCGAAACTGCAACGCTTCAAACGCTATACTGAGGAGCTCTAATGGCAACACTTCCGTTCGTCTCACCACCCCCGGAGAGAAGTATTTCATATGCGGAGTTCTCTCTCACTGCTTAGGAGGAATGAATCTTCAAATCAACGTTTTGCAAAAGAAAAACGCAGCTCCGCCGCCGTCTCCGCCGGCGAGGCTCTCTCCGCCGGCGAGGCTCTCTCCGCCGGCGAGGCCCTCTCCGCCGGCGAGGCTCTCTCCACCGGCTACTTCAAGTCAGCCCCAAAGTCCGGGATTGGCGTACCTCGACCAAGGTTTGCTTCCCTTTGGGAATGGCTCTGTGCGTGGATTAAAAATGTGGCATTTGATTTTGGTTTTCGGTTGCTGTATTGGAGGTTTTGTTTTGGTTTCATTTTGATGGTTTGAATAAATTGTGGATGTTTTTAAACCATGCATCTTCTTGATTTTTTTTTTTTTTTATGCAAAATTATTTTTTTGGATTAGATTTAAGGGATGTTTGTAACTCATGCTCAAAATGACTTGTAATTTTTTTTTTTCAAGTTAAATTTATTTTAATGTAGGATAAAAGCCTTTTTATATTATTATTATAAGATATTTTTTATTGAATTATAAAAATGTAATTTTTGTTTGCTGGCTTTTTTTATAAGAGAAAAATATATATCTTATTGAAATTGTAATTATTATTTTATTTAGAAAAAAAAATGCCCCAATCTTAAGTATACATAGCTCCCAATTTCTGTGTAGTTACATATCTAAGATCGAAACTTTAGTTTTTATATTTACACCATCAAATTTGGGGAAAAAATTTACGTACATAAGACGTATGCAAAGCTGCGTACGTCTGTAACCTGCAAACAAGTTACAGGGAGGATTTTGGGAGGTTATAACCGCGTTATACCCCCTGTAACATTCTTGTATATGAAAAACAAAAGCGTGAAACTTACTAGAAGGTACAGATAGGTCACAGGAGATATAACACAATTATAACCTCCTAAAATCCTCCCAGTAACATGTTTGCAGGTTACAAACGTAGCGTACGTCTTATGTACGCAAATTTTTCCCCAAATTTAAAGTACCAAGGATGCAAACCAACAGGCCATGATATGTCCATGTAGCGCGCGCGCACACAGTGTTCGTTATGTAAATAAATGAGTTAAATGGTATGTATGTAAATCTTACTTTTCCTAAAAGTTAGATCTTAGTCCTAATTATTGATAAATATTTTATTTCAAATCAAAACATATATCAAATTAAAAATAATAATTAAAAAAAAAACATAAGTGATTCCAAACACATCCTAAGAGTTTACAGTCAGTCTGTAATCCACATCATAAAGTACGATAGCATGCTAAATTTTATAAGCTTTCAAGTTACTTCATCATAATTGGAGTATTAATATTTAGAAAATATTAACTGTTGGTCCAGATAACAAGACAAAAAGGTTCATTAGTATATTATTTATGATATAAAATTAAAACACTTTTCGAATGTTTAAAATGACATCTAAATAAATCATGATTAGTTTCATTTAATTTGATTTAAATTAATTATATCATTTGGTAGTTATACTGAGAATTACAACATAAACAATTTTTTTTTTAATATAATTTGCGCAATGTGCAGATTTTTATTGAAATAATTGTTGTAAGTAAATCACTATGCAGTTATTTGATTGAGATCAACACTAGCAACCTTGATCTATGATATTTGTTGGATATTTCAATAATATTAATAGTTCATGAGAAACTATCGGGGTGGGGAACATAAACAAACAGGAAGAGCCTAAATGGCCGCAATTCAGTAGTCTTATAAACAACACCATTGCTGATCCATGTAAATTCAAATAACAAATACTTACAGCAACGCCATGGTTCTTTTATTGGCCTCTTTGTTGAAATCCAAAGACGACTCCTGAAAATTGCGTGGTTAGTTTGAAATGAGCTGATTTAATCAAATGGATCAATCCTGGGATCGTGCTCGCTTGCCATTGCCATCCCCGTGCAGAGGCATGTAGGGCACATTACCTGCAAGGATTCAGTGAGAACTTAATGATATATCAAGTTTCACTTCTCTTAATAGCTGTAAGTGCATTGGCGAAAAAATTCAAACATTGCTTCAACATGCAATTGAGACAAATAGGCTAATCAGTCTCAAGGCTCGCTCCATAAACAGCTCCCGATTCAAATTAAGTGAAGGAGTCGAGTTTGAGCTGTAGTGAGTAGATCATAGCTCAAACTCAGCAAGCAAGGCCACTTAGCTGACTAAACAGATTGAGCACCATATTATCACTCATAACTATTTTTGCCTCTCCTAACCCACCTTTCGGCCGGCCTACCTCCCAGAAAAGCTGCTCCCATAAGATTCCTGTTCTTTTAAATCCCTCTCCATAGAAACAAATCTCACCCTACAGGGAGCTCATTTAGTTTGAACCATAGTTGTGACTTGATTTGAGTATGAAAATATATAAATGAAAAGAGGAAGTAGGTTCAACAACCCACGTACCGCAGGGAATCATTGGGACGAGAATTAAAAAGGAAATTTGATTAAGAGACCATTTGGGGCGGCTATAATTGCTTGCAAAATGAAACTAGATGACTACCAAGGAAAAAATAATTTTTTTAAAAGCTATATGGGCATTATAAACATTTTATCCTTTTCAAAAGTCGGATAACTTTTTTATGGCATTTATATATAGGAAAATTTTGGTCCAAAAAGAAAAAAAAACTATAGCAAAATAGAAGTGAAATATGGCAAGTCTCAAAGCAAAGTAGTGAAAAAGCTGCTCCAAATGGACCCAAGAAGTGGCCTTGATTGTAGAATAACTCTTCAGACAATTGATTAATGGAATAACTGCAAAAGATGAAGCAGTGAGTACTTGTAAATCGTGAGATTGAAATCATCATCCATCTCTGTCTGTAATTATATATGCCATTTCCACCTTTCCACTAAAAAACAAAAAATGCTAATATGCTGTAAATTCATTTAATAATTGCAAGGTCTAGAGACAACAGCATTGTGATGTCAGTAAAGCTCAATATTTGAGACCTGATCAATAATTAATTGATACCCATCAACAAATTGTCATCATCCGACACAAACCTTGAGGCATAACATGAATCTAGAAGTAAATTTTGAGCAAAAAAACGTTCAAACATCAATTAAAAGTCATCCAAAACTCTGATTTCAACAAGCTTAAAGTCAAATTACCTAGCTAGATGACGACCTAACGGTATCAAAATTGGTTCAATTCGAGACAAATCAAACCTAGATCAAGCCGTTAAACCGCCTTCAAAAGCTTTCAATATAGAATTGAAAGATCGAACAAATTTCAAATCTGAGAAGCATATAGTCAAATCAAGTGTCTCAGCAGGACAAATCCAACGAGTTCAAGATCGCTCAATTTTGACATCATTAAAACACTTAATTGTCAGATTTTAGAACACCAAATATCGTTCGATCGAGGGAATCTATCCGAGTCATCTGATAGAGTAGTTCAAATTCCTTTCGTATTTGCAGAGAGACATCTCCCAGATTCTAGAAAAAGGGCCCTACCCCCCTCTCGAGAAGGGAGGACCTTGAGCAGAAGAAGACTGAAGCTTAGAGAAGTTAAAGTCCAGTGTCGCTTCTGCACCGCAGATCCAACAAATATCTGCCACTCCTGCAACCACCACTCGCCTGCCATCGTAGGCCGCCCTTGATTCATTGCAATGAAACCCTTTTTGGAATCACGGCATGCGCTACAGAATCCCAACGTATATTGTAGAATAGCGAGGTAACACGTAGACAACGCACCCCACATATGATACAACGACTCCCTCCGAATATGATGCAAAAACACACCCAAATGACGGTGTAACAACACACACACATATGGAGCAACGACGTCTCACGAAGACGATGTAACAATGCATCGCGAAGACGATGACTTCTCTGAGTCCTAAAGCTCTCATCTTGCAGTCCACTACTACGGCCTACGTGGTCCACAGCTAGTGCTTCCCTCGACTCCAGACTTTGGGGCCTACGGACGTCATCACAACATACCACTATAGCCTAGGAGACCAATTATGGTGTCCACAACTCATGCGGTTTCTAACCCCATCCCTGACGGTTTACGAACGTCATCACAACTCACCACTACGGCCTACGTGACCAACTATAATCCACGTGGTCCATAACTCGTACAGTTCTCGACTCCGGGACCTTTGGCCTACAAACGTCATCACAACTCACCGTTATAGCTTATGTGACAAACTACAGTCTACGTAGCTCACAGCTCATATAGCTTCCTACTACGATATATGTAGTTAACCGACGAACCTGAAGCAATCATCTACGACCCACACAGCCAACTACTGTCATAAATTTCAACTACGATATATATGACAAGTTGGTGCTACGATTACCAACTACAACATTCACAGTGGATTACTACCTTCATAACAACCGATTATAACCCTCGCAACTAGCTATCATCGAGAACTACATTCATTATAGCAAGACAACGACTATTATCAATGAACTACTGTTGTATATTTATAATGATCAATTTTATAACTCGATCTTTCCTAATTCAAGAGAAGAGTGGACATGTGCATTCATCATTCAAAGTGTATTATTTCAATCGGGCAATGTCTCGTGGTTTTTTCCCTTTTTAAGATTTTCCACCTAAAAATTGGATGTGTCTCCTGTCACTTCTCTTTAATTACATGAATATGTTAGGCTTTTGAGCAAAGCTAAGACAGTGATACATTACTCTGTCGTGGACTATTGCCTCCATAGCAATCAATTATGACCCTTGCAGCCTGCTAACACCAAGAACTACATTTATCACAACCAGTCTACGACTATTATCAACAAACTACTGTTATAAATTTAAAATGGTCAACTTTATAACTCCATCTTTCTCAATTAAAGAGCTGAATGAACATGTACTTATCATTTATAACAAATTATTTCAACTCGGCTTGACCTAGTGGTTTTTTTCTCTTTATAGGTTTTCCATGTAAAAATTTAATTTCTCCCCTTACTTCTCTTTAAATATTTGAGTGTGTTTGGTTTTCATGTTAATTTCTCCCCTTCTCTTTAAATATTTGAGTGTGTTTGGTTTTCATGCAACACAAAGATTATAATTCATCAATCTACCATAGTGGACCTTCCAACACACATCAGTTTGGTGTTGTTTGTAAGTAGTAAAGTCTCGTTTGATAGTGTCTTCAAGTCAAAGACACCAAGCCACTACTTTGTTTCCCAATGACATACATCATCAAATTGGCAAAGAAACCTTTTCTGCACCTCTTGAAGATCACTTCCTCACATTCCTTGATGTGAGGGGCTCCCTTCGCTACAATCTCAAAAGGTCATTCATCATAATGCCACAGACACAATTATAGTCGAGTAGTCATCCCGCAACTTATTTAGACACAGTTTATGACAAATACTTCCAGGATATGGGGCAACCTTCATTGCAGTCTTGAAAGCTCATTCACATTAAAATCCAAGGCACATCTATGGAAAAATAGTAATCTCACATTTGATTTAGACATTACGTCT